TAATAAAAAAATGTCTTAGTTTTTTTTCAAAGTTGAAATATTCGGCAAAGCTTTTAGAAGTAAAAAAAATGCTTTGAGTAGAAGCATAAACAGTTTGGAGAAGCAAGAAAAAATAGCTTCTCTACCAAAAGCTAGTTTTTTTAAAAAGCAATTTTGAGAAGAATACACTTAGAAGCACATTTTAAAAGTTTCGCCATACACTAATTGTTACTCAAAAATAGTTTTCAAATTAATTAACCAAACACAAACTATTTCTTACAAAAAAATACTTTTGCAGAAAACCACTTTTAAGAAATAACATTTCTTAAAATAAGCTGATTTTAGAAACTTGGCCACACAAGCTATAAGTGAGTCATGTGACTCTCCTTCTTTCTTCCTAAATAAATCCTAAATTGAACTTCAATTTCCTATTTCATAACACGTGAAAATAGTATAGTAAAATAACAATCAAGCCTTACCCTATCTTTCTAATGACTTTCACTTTCACTTTCACTTTTCACTTTTCTTTTTTCCCAGAATTTTGTGGACCCAGATGTGTAAGATATGGGTCCATAAATATGTGAAATAAAAAGAGGCCTCACACAACTAATGTAAATTATGTGAGACACAAAATAAAATCATTCCTTTTGGCAGGTTATTGCCTTTTGTGTCCTTATGAATAGCTTTCACTTTCACAAGGCACAACTTTTGTGTCCTTACGAATAACTCCTCACTATGTGAACATTATAAAAAGTTTGTCTATTGTCGGTACTCGGTAGTGTCACTTTGTGAACGTGACACTTTGAAGTTTGTCAATTGTTAGTTTCAGCTGAAAAACTTAAATAAATACTTGCTCCCAATTATATTATTTGTCTTTTAAAGATTCTTTGGGGCAAAATGGTTAAAACGAAACAGTTATCAACCCATATTATCTATTAAAGATTAGTTGGATAATAAACTTTTTAAAAACGGATTAAATATGAATAGAATCATATTATCCAGTTAAAAAATAGATAATCAATAGATAACTAATGAGTTTAACTTTGATATTTATAAAGCCTCAAATTAGTTGGGAGTTCCTCAAGTTTAGAAGACTAGAAATTTTTTAAGTGATCATATTCAAGAAGTCATGAATAATATGAATTTTTATATTATCCGCTGGTTAACCCGTTCTTTTTTCGTTTTAAATATGTATCGGACGGAATAATTTATCTTTTTATATTACCCATTTTTAACCCGATCATATCCGATACAACCCGACCCGTTTGACTCCCGAGTTGGCAGTGTCACTTTATATGAACACGTTGAGGTTTGTCAATTGTTAGTTGGCGTAGGAAAACAGTAGTATAACCTTTTTCTTTTGTTAGCTGCGGTGTTGGGGCCACTCCTTTTACTATGAGGCGGAAAAATAATGGTGGAACGTACTACGCAACTAGTGATTTAAATTCCCAATTACAGCTCTTTGATTCTTGTGATATCTTTGCTCAGGCACACTAATGGAGGAACATCAACTTGATTACGCACTTGTGCCTCTTGGGCTGGTCATTTTCCTAGCATATCATGCTTGGCTTATGTTCACTATAATTCGGTATCCAAGAAGAACAGTCATCGGAATCAATTCTGAGTCTCGCCATAACTGGGTCCTCTCCGTTATGACTGTTAGTCTCCTTTCTTTCCCCTTTTGTTTTCTTTTTTATGTGCGAAATATTGATCAAATTATGGTTTCAAATTTTGGGGTTATTTATAATTACTCTTTTAAGTATTAGCTATTATGATTTGAGCTGCTTAACATTCAAATTGTAGAAAGGAATGTTGTAATTAGCTAGTTTAGGTAATCGAATGAAAGAAAAATAACATTACCAACCCAGCTAATATAGGGTTAACCCGGTGCACCCAAGGGGTGTGATGTAGACAGCCCACTCTAATACAAGTATTTGTGGCTGCTTACACGGTTCGAACCCATGTCCAGCTTTTAATTCGTGAGCACCTGACTCTCGGAATTTTGCGTTGTAAAAAAAAAAAGTTATAGTCCATCTGGACTGATCGATTGTCTCGATGATTGATATGGAAATGCTAAAAATGGGGAAAGTGCAAGTTAGAAAGTGAGGAGGTCCATGATATACAAGTTTTGGTTTTTCGAAGTGAAAGATTGAGCAGCTGCGGAATATAAAGCTGCAAAGGGTAGTTCTGAGAAAGTGGAAAAACAAGTGTTTGACTGATTCTCATGATCTCATCTTAGGGAGCTAGTATTAACAAAGGCCTAGATTTTCAATATGTTCATTAATTCCTATTTTGGTGATTTTTGCAGTGTTTTATTGATCAAGAGAACTTAAGGTCTCATGTTAAACTTGAGTGCAACATCTCCGCTTTCTGTGATTTTGCTATTTACTTCCTCCAAGTAATAACAAAGTGAATAATCACATATAGTGTAATATCTATCCTTGTTTTATGTACCAAACTCCAAAAGCAAAATCCAGTATGTACTTCACTGAATAGAAAGTGCTTGCCGTTGCAAGTGTTATCTTACCATTTCCTGAAGATTCCCTCTAGTCTTGTTCTTTGCTCTGCAACACTTGTTTTGATTAACCGTGATGTTTTCTTACTACAACTACAACCGCCGGCCTTCTGTAATAGCATTTAGTTTCCTTCAAGAGTTCCTTTTTGTCTCAAAGATCTATCCTAATAAGTCTCATGCAATTGTTCTTCTTTCCTTAATCTTTCATGTCTTCCATTTTATTTTTAGTTAGTGTTTAATGTACTTATACTTACTATGATGCTGATTAAGATAAGAATCTTCCATAACCATTGAGATAAATATGTTTTGGGAAAGAGGAATATTTGGTCATGCTTCTTTTCCTGGTAATATAACTGAAGAGATGAATCAATTAATAATATGAATTTCTTTAAACGATCAAAGAGCATGAACGTGAATCTTTAGTGGAAGGGAGAATTATGCACTCAAAAAATTTAAGAGGAATCTTTTCAACTTGTTGGTCTTTGATCAACTCATATAGAGTTCTTCATTGCTGCATATTTTAATTTTCAATAAATGAACTTTCTGTGATGGAATTATTTTTGGTGCCTGTGACAAACCTTTTTCTTTATAAGAAAGTTTTTTTGAGTATGTGTAGTGCCTTCGATCGCAGTAGCATAGATTCCCAAATCCCAAGGCCCTGCTGCCTCATTTCAGTTGGAAATATTGCGTTGTAATCTAAATACACTAGAAGACTATCTATCTGTTCCTATTCGACCGGTCCCTGGCCTTATGAAAAGCAAAAGTTGAGTCTGGTACTGTATACATTGTTTTTCTAGCAATGGCTACTTTGTTGGGTTGTGGTGAAGGTCAAATCTCCATATGCTTTTATATAAAATGGTTTAAAGCTTGCTAATCCCATAAGAAGTCAAGTAATTTTTGTTGTTCTGTTGGCACTAAGCGAATCTAAATTTCAGTGAAACCAATATGGTCGTAATTCAAAGAAATCGTTTAAAGACATAAAATGAGGCAGGTTACATATAATAGTTATGAGAAACAATGTTATATAGGAGTGAATGTTGGGCCTTAGAGGCCCAAAATATCCACAAGATGAGTATCCTAGAAGTACAAATGTTAAGATGGATGTGCCGTGCACAGGCGTACAAGATCAGATAAGGGTAAAATTGATCACATCTGACATAGGGTGACCTTAGAAGCTACTAAATTATTTAGTATTGGAATGAGAAGGGTTTGAATACAGCAGAACGCATATGGAGGATACATATGCCAACTGCAACTTTGGAATAGTAGAATTGATTGATTATATTCACTAATAATGATGCTGATTCCAGAAATTTAAATTATCTGTATTGAGCAATAATAGTGAGTAAGGTCATCTGTTATCGCGAAGGTCTGCTTAATAGTCAGTACGACCTTGAGGCATGATATGTTTGTTTCTTCGATTGGCGTCTGGAGTTATGTGATTGCAGGAACTTATCAAACTAACGTGGTTGTGGAATAAATTTGTATACATCGTATAAGTTTTAAAGATAACTGATTATGAGAATGAGTATTCTGGTTCACATGGAATACTAACTGGAAGCAACTTTTGGCGAGTCGGTTTACTTTTTTTTCCCGATATATTTAGCACAGTATAGGGCTGACCGGCTGAGAGTCGGCCAGTTAAGAAATTGTATGTCCAGAAAATGAAAGTAGCAGAAATGTGGATGTTGAGATGAGTGTGCGGGCATACCAGGAAAGATAAAATTATGAATGAAGTTATCAGGGACAAGGTGGGAGTGACACCTATGGAGGACAAGCTACGGGAACCGAGGTTGAGATGGTTTGGGCATGTGAAGAGGAGAGACATAGGTTGACCATGGCAGGTCTGAGAAAGGGTAGAGATAGGTCGAAGAAGAATTGGAGAGAGGTAATCAGACAGGACATGACATTGCTTCACCTTAATGAGGACATGACCATCGATAGGAAGGTGTGGAGGTCAAGAATTAAGGTTGAAGGTTGATAGGTAGTCGCCAATTCCTCCTAGTCTTGCCAGTAGTAGTACTATTTCGGTACTTTCTTATTCTTAGAGCTTTATTATTACTCGTACGGCATTTGCTTTCGTTATTTTTTTTTATCTTTTTGTTGCTACTGTTTGTTGCTTCCTTCTCATTGTTCTTTGAGTGTCTATTGGAAACAACCTCTCTACCTTCACAAGGTAGGGGGTCTGTACCCATTACCCTCTCTACCTTCACAAGGTAGGGGGTCTGTACCCATTACCCTTCCCCAGACCCCACTTGTAGGATACACTGGGTTTGTTGTTGTTTGTTGTTGCTGAGGCAGTAGAGCTGTCAATATGGGCGAGGCCGGGCTAGCCCAGCCCAGCTCACGCGGGCTTTAGCAATTGACGGGCTGGGCTGGGCTAGCCCACCATTTTGATGGGCCTTATAATGGTCAGCCCACTCCAGCCCTATGTGGGTTGCGGGCCCCCACGAGCCGCCCATCATTTTTAAATATAATTTTATATTTTTTCTTTAAGTTCTAACTTAATAAAGATAAATATTTAAAAGTTAAAAAAAATTTATTGAAAAAATTTCACAAAACTTAAAAACTTTTTATACTGTTCCAATATATCACAATAAACACTAAAAAGTAAAAGACAAGACTAATATTTCATTCACTAAAAGTCAAAACTTAAAACAAACTATTCAAGAGAACGTCCATGACGCATATGGGATATCCAACACATCATCTTTATCAAACACATTTGAATCCGCTTGTGAGAAAGATTGTCTTAATATCTTCATTTTCATCTACATCTACATCTACAATTCCTATGCAATATTAATTGGTTAAATATTAAGAATAATTAAATTTTTAAAAATAATTAACGTTTTAAGACTTTGATCTTTTAATATGATGAGCTTAATAAACTTTAAGCTTGGGTACTCTTCTTGATATTTTTTATGTCGTATAATTTTTATATTTATATAAATACATATTTTTATTAGGCCCACGGGCCGGCCCAGCCCATCCTCAGTCAAGCCTCACGGGCCACGGGCTTACTCGGGCCAGGCTTAAAAGCCTCATTTTTAAATGGGCTCAAAAGGTTCTAGCCAAATCCTGCTAAATCACGGGCTGGGCTGGGCTGGGCTGGCCCAACGGGCCAAGCCCATATTGACGGCTCTGTGAGGCAGTCCGCCAGATGCTACTAGTTGAAGCATTGCATGGTTTACGCTCTGCCAAAAGGATGAAGGGGGAGGAAGAGAGTCTAAATGTGAAAAGAAAAAATAAACCAGCTTCTGATTTGCAGAACTTATCTGACATGGATGTATTATGTCAATTATCTAAAATTTTTATCATGTCCAAGTTTTGCATTTCTATTTTTATTTCGTGCTGATGTGCTATAGATTAATAAGCATATTATTATGCTCTGTTCTAGTAGAAGAACAATCAGTAGCAATTGACAAGCAGTTTGGTATGTATTGTCAATTGACTTTTAGGGAACTGTATTCAGGATCCAATAAAGAACGGAGTTCTGGCAGTTCAAACTATACGCAACAACATTATGGCGTCTACCCTTTTGGCGACAACTGCAATTACTCTCAGCTCAATCATTAGCGTATTCGTGAGCAACAAATCAAGCTTTACATACTCGGAGCTACTGTTTGGGAATAAAACTCCTATGATGTCTTCTATAAAGTTTTTTACCATCTTGCTTTGCTTTCTTGTTGCATTTCTCTGCAATGTTCAATCTATCAGGTACTATGCCCATGTTAGCTTCTTAGCTACTTTGCCTACATTCAAAGATAGATCTGAATCTATAGAGTATGTCGCGATGAATTTGAACCGAGGGAGCATGTTTTGGTCACTGGGACTACGAGCATTTTATTTGTCGTTTCCTCTCTTCCTTTGGATATTTGGGCCGATACCCATGTTTGTAGGTTGCTGTGTAATGTCGATCGTTCTATACTTCTTGGATACCACCACAAGTTTTACCAGGGATCTCCACTCTCAATCTTTAAGAGAGGAAAGGAAGGCAACTGATTTGGAATGTGTAAATCATCAACTCTAGAAGTTGTTAATGAAATAACAAGTTCAAGGAGGGCATATTCAGAGTCTAGCCTATAAGATAATGAGTGTCTTATTTGGAAGATAGTAGCTGGTTTTGTAACTAAGTTTCACCTATTTGGTTTTCTATGTAAAATTTATATTCAAGTGGTTCCACTATCTTATTATATATTGCTTTCCTTGTACTTGAAGTAGGAATGCTGCCCTCAAAGCATGTATATGATGGACAAATTGTTGCTTGGTTGTTTCTTCTTTTGTGGTTTTTTTTTGGTCAGTAACACAAAAGCACTTGATATAGAACTATTATTGACTATCACTAATTTTAGAAGTTGAGCAATTCTTTTCATGATGTTGTCAAACAGAACGAAGATTATTAATAAAGCAATCCAATAGATTCACTAATTTTAAAGTAGCTGAGGAGCAGTATAGATCACATCCAAATATCAATTATACATTCTAATGTCAACAAAAATAAGCAACTCATCAAGATGGAATTGCAGTGTTAACCTATGTATATATGTTGATTTGGCGAGAAGTGATGATTCATTAATAGAAAGTTTATTTACTCCTGCCTACTAATAAATCAAAGTACTTTTCTGCCTCGAAATTTTATTTTGATTTAGTTCACAAAAGGTAAAGCATAACGACTTTCTTTTAATAGTTGATTCTTTGTTTCATATAAAGAGACGTAAATTGTGTGAAATTTGAAGATATATAGAGATTACTTAGTTTATGGTTTAAATGCATAATTCTATAATGTTCCGTGATACTGTTCTTTCTTTTTCCCTTCTTTTTTTTATGGCTTTTCTGTTATTATTTTCTTCACCTTTTCTTTTTTTTGTGTGTTCCCGAAACTTACTTGCCGCTCTTACTCAACTAGTATGAATGAAACCTATAAAGTTACTCCTGCTATTTTCCTAATATTTGTATGGTTCTAATACTACTATACAACAACAACAACAACAAATACGCACTATTCTAATACTACTATAGTAGGAAAAATCAAATAATATTTCATTGGATAATATATTTTAATTTTTTCTTGAAAATAGTTTTGAACTATAAACCTTTTAGTGTTTTTTTTGTCATTCCTAAAAATGAACATTTTATTTAGAAATGAAGAAATTAATGTTCAATACGCACCATAACTTATACTCCGTGAAATATTTCTAAGCTGAATCCGACTACTTCCCTCTTATTTTTTTTTTTCTTTTGAAAGGTTGGAGTATAACAAGGAAAAAGAAAGGAAAATGATTACTAATCTGTCAAGCCAATAACAATTGAGATTCATTTGAAATTCTTTAAAAATAACATGTTAATGTTGCAGGCAAAAATAAAATGAAAAATGGATAGAGAATAAAAGGGAAAAAGAAAGGAATGAGCATGATTAAAATTCATTGGGAACAAACATTCTTCACTGCCAATGCTTATTGGGATTTCACCTAAGCAGTACATTTTCTCAAATCTTAAGGCCGCCGCACAAAAGCAAATGTTTCATGGAAGTTAGGATTGCTTCTCATACTCGCCACTATTGATCCTCACAACTACGGGTGTACAAAGGAAATCGACAAACCGTACCAATCTGATAATCCGAATCAAATTGAAAATAAAAATCCGATTATGGTTCGGTTTGATTTGGTTTGGTAGTGAAAAATGAATAACCCCGATCATAATTGGTTTGGTTTTAACTAAAGAAAATCAAACCGAAACCAAACCAACCCGACAATACATGTATAGAAATTTTAGATATATTTAATATATAAATATACTTATTGTGATATAATTTATAAATATTTCTTAAATTTTTTCATAATTTTATCTTTTAAGGTATTAATTCAAGATTGGACTTACAACTTTTGAATGTTCCAATAAGTTTCATAGCCATTAATATTAGTAACTCAAATAATGCTAACAAAAGCCCAAACCAAAATTGAATCAATGCTAATGCTAACAAAAGAGTGAATGACATTCAATTTAATACTAGGAATGACAATGTATTGAATATCTATTTTTGTTTTGCAATGATTTAGATAAAAATGCATAACCATTATTTTTCTTTAGCGTTTAGTCATGTAATTAATACTCCCTTATTAGTCTACTTATTTTAGCATGACTTAGTACTTTTAGATTATGTTTATTTTTATTATTTAGCAATATTTATGTTACGTGATATTGTCTTTATTGTTGAATATTTTAGGATATTGCCATGACACATCTCATGTTTTGTATTATTTTCTTGGAAAATACCTTATATAGTTGTATCTTATTAGGATTAAAAAAAAATATTTGGAGCATAAGTTATATCCCTTATCCCTCAAATTTGACAAACATGGGATAAACTCATCTCAAATTTGATCCCGGGATTAATTATCCTCGTACAAAACGAGCCCTTAGAGTAAAATAAAGCTGTATAAAATCAAGTTCCATGCTTTATTATTTAGCTGTTGCCAGTAAGTGTTTTTAACTTCATTTTCCCTTATCATATGCTTGTCGTTAGCCCTTAATGAAAGGTAAAACCACAACTATTACTAGCATTATTTAACCTAAGCTTCTATAGTCAGTACAAAAGAATCTTACAGGGCTTGGTACTACTGTTTTACATTGCTTTTCCTCAATTAAGTCCTCAGCACTTCAGCTCCTCTTTAAGTAAACTCTCTAACCTAAAATCAATGGATCCACTGGCATCTCATCCAACTGCCTTTCCAGATTTCCAACAAAACTATCTGGATTCCAACCGCTCCTCCTCATGTTCCCGCCTTAACAATACACGGGACAGGCCACTGCCACCCGTCCCTGGTGCCAAGCTACGCCTTATGTGCAGCTACGGGGGTCACATTATCCCCCGCCCCCACGACAAATCACTATGCTATATTGGAGGTGACACTCGCATTGTGGTGGTGGATCGCCTCTCCTCCCTCTATGACATCCACGCTCGCCTTTCACACACCCTCCTCAATGGTAACAAGTTCGCAATCAAGTATCAGCTTCCTAATGAAGACCTTGACTCACTTGTATCAGTCACCTCTGATGAGGACTTGCAACATATGATTGAAGCATATGATCGTGCAATGTTGGTTTCACCTAACTTGAAACCTTCTCGTCTTCGCTTGTTCCTGTTTCTTGAAAAGATAGAAACTGCAGCCTCTATGGGTTGTCTTCTTGATGATGCCAAATCCGAAACATGGTTCGTTGATGCTTTTAACAATGCTGGTTTTATTTCCAGAGGGCTCTCTGATTCAGCTGCAGTAGATAATTTGCTGGAACTTCACAACATTCCGGATAATGATTCTTTTGCAGACCTGGAGGCTCAAAATCATGAGTCCCTGGGCAAGAATGCTATTCAGGAAGTGAATTCTACAATGCCTGATTCACCTATGGTTGATACAACCTCATCATTTGAATCCACTGTTTCATCTCAATCTATCAGAAATCTGCTTCCTGTTGCGGTTAAAGGTGAAGATAATCACATGAACGCGACATTCCAGGATCAGATTCTTGGGTTATATGAACGGTTCTCACATATTAACGTCGCTTCAAATGAACAAAAACTGGATGATGGTTATAACCATTTGCCTGCAGCTGTAGCACCAGCTCTTCCTACTGTAATTGGTGGTGCAGATGCTATGTTATCAGCTGGTTTTGTGAAATCTACAGCTGCTAATGATGATGAGAAAACAGATCATGTTGCGCCTACTAGGCTCCGGAAACTCCTATTGAGGTCACTATCAATTCAGAAGAAAAATGGAGATGGTTATATCTTACCATCACCTGATTCAAAATGTGCTGGTTACAATTTGCCATCACCTGATTCTGTAGCAAGGTATGAATGTACTCTTTGTTCATTTTGCTTCCAAGTTTTGTAGGGAGATTATAAGAATCATATCAAAAGTCGAAGTAAACAACAAAGAGTAGCAATAATCCCAGAAAAGAAGAAAAGGTCTTTGTTGCTCCACCTATTTGGCATGTTTTAGTGTAGAATACTGAAAAGTTTTTTAACTTTGTCAACTAAGATATCTTTTGTATAATTTTCCAACATTTTACCTTACAGTGATAGCAGCATTGCCTCAGCTACTTCACTCGCAAAACACACGATTTACCAAGAAGCAACTCATCCTCTTGCAGTAATTGATTCCAGGAATAATAGTATTGATCCAAACTCTCCAAGTCAGATGCAACAGGTTCAAGATTCTGTAGTTATACAGGCCTCCCAGCAAAATCTGTACCAGCAACCACAGTTCATTCCACCCGGCGCCCATTACATCAAACATACTGCAACAGGTCCAGTGACAACGCCATCTTACTATCCAATGTATGCACTTCAATCCCAGCAACCAATACATCAACAAATGGATCAGCAGTATCAATTGTATTTGATTCCTGTCCCTCAAATGACAATGCAATCCAATATATGTGGAGTAGCATCAAGCCAGCATCTGGCACCACCAAATCCACCTATTCTTCCGACAAATACAGTTACGTCTTCTGAACCTGAAATGGCTGCAAATGCATACAGAACAGCCACTCCAGCTTCTTCAAGATTTCTTCAAGTTCCTACTAGTCAATTTCAGCAACAATATTGTGGTCTATCCCAGTTTTCTCCTCCATCACAGCCACTGGCTGCTCTTAATACTGCCATTGCTAATTTGAGCTATGAATATTCTCATCCTACGCATGATCAGGTGTACTACGCTCAACATCCAGCTCCGCCATTTCCTTTGCAGTATCAAACAATGACCCCTACTGCAGTTTTATTTTCACAGGCTTCAGCACAACTAGCTGCCGAGAACACCACTTCACAAAACATAACCTCATAGCCTCATTAAGTTAAAACAGGTAGTCAAGATAGAATATCAGGTGTACTTTTATTTTATACTTCAGGTACAAGGAGGAATGTCTATTGTGGAGAACAGAGGTACTCTTCATCCTACAGCGTGATGCAGGCATTCGTGAGGTTAAGATGAGACTAGTATATGGTGTCTTACGAAGCAATTTAATATCAGCATCTGAACTGCAACGTATGTATTATGCTCTCTTTTTCTACATGTATGTATGTATGTCTTAATAATTGGTATTCTATAATAAAGAACCTGTTAGATGAATCCAACATTTTGGTCATCCTTCTATGCCAATATTTTCTGGTACATTGTTGAGTTGAATTGTATTGAATTTGTCGTCCTGTTGGAAGGTACAAACGACTGCAGTTCAAAGAGTTGCAAAGACTACTTAAGATTCATTTCTGCTACTTTCATCAAAGGGATAGTTGCCAAATATAATCGATAACATATCTCTACATCTTTCCAATAGAGATCGACAGAAAATACAGCCATGAATTTCTCTGCCTATCAGATGAGCTATCATGATTATCTCAATTAGTTACCACTTCTAATCGTACCAACGCATCGATACTATTAGGTAAGTACTATGGCAAGGAAAAATTATACAACTACAAGCAATTTGATTTACTCATGAATTCAGGAATAGCTATTTCTTTAAAAAAAAATGGAGAGTAAAGCAGTTGGACCAATGTGGTGCCTGTCGACAATATAATTAAGTAAATAAAAGTTTGTTCTCTCTAACAACTCAAACTTTCAAATGAGAATATGGTCACACGATTCAATGATGCCACTATGATAATCTTTAGCATTCACGCTAAAGATTAGGTATATATTTGGCTAAGGAATTCTCCTAGTTACATTTTAGCTGCAGATATTTTAGCTTAGCTAATGTTGCGCACAAGCTATAGATTAAGGTCAGTAGCTTAATTGCATGTTTTCTTAGTTTCTTACGGCTATAATATTAGCTAGCGTTTGGCATAGATCCAAAATTTATTTTGAAAAATCTGATTTGGGTGAAGTTTAGTTTGAAGATGAAAATGTGTTTGGACATACCATTTCAAAAAATATTTTCCAACTTTATTTTGGAAAAACATGTATATAATTCCCAAGTTTTGGGATTTTGGCTCAATAGCTGATTTTGGGAGTTGAAATTTGGGATTTGGCCAAAATATGAGCAAAATTTATGGCCAAACATGAGTTTTGAAAATAAATCCCAAATTTATTTTGGCAAAACTCATGGCCAAACGGGGCCTTAGTCATTTTGTCAATCTAAATTTGTTCAAACCTATTTGACATCTTAGAAAAACAAGAAGCATTTATCAGTTTTTTTTCTTTTCAAATTCAAGCTTACTGCTCAAATCAGTGTAATGTTAATTAAATTATAGGTTCAACAGTATCCGTGTGATGCATAAAATTACCTTATTGCGATTTAACCAGTGCTTTCTTTTGAGTTTTTTTTTTTTTTTTGGTAAGGAACAAACATAAGATTTCTTTTTTCTAATTTGTTGAGGAGTGGGTGGGTAAGAGTCTGCTGATATTTTTGCTTCTTGCAAATGACAATTTATGTGGCACATCCAGTCCAACAACTTGATCAGAAAATAAATGATAAATGTCCCATGTATTTTGGTAGAAGTTAATTGACTCACTCCCAGGCACGTTTAAAAGGTCCAAAAAAAGGCAAAGTGACAATATCTGGCCAAAATCTGTAGCTTAGACATTCCAACTATTCATATCAGAGAAATGAGTGACAATTTTTGTTTTACATAACACCAGGACAGTCTTTCTACACAGAAGCTACTAAAAATGGCAGACTGGTTCATTAAGCTTTCGCTATATGCGGAAGGTACGGACCACAAAAGCGTTGATCACAAGCTTTCGCTATGATCAACAAGCTTTCGCTATATGCGGAGTCCGAGGAAGGTACGGACCACAAAAGCGTTGATCACAAGTAACTAATCTTAACTTTTGTAGAAGGTATTTTAGTTACCAATTTGTAACAATACACTAACTTTATATGCCATTAAGCTGTTTTGCCCTTAAATCAAAACTATCTTCAAAATTCAGAAAATAATTCACAATACTGAAGGAATTTGTCACCATAACATTTTTTTGTTTTGTTTTGAGAATGGTAACATAAAACATGACAATAAAATTGCAATCACATATCTGCAACACATGTAAGAATTCATATCTGGTTGGTTTTTGTATGATTGAAGCATTATAATTAAAAGACAAGCAGAAGATTGTGTTTCAAGCTGTCCCATGACTGCTGTCCAAACAAAAGAGCCACTATCTTCAGGAAACACTTGGGAAAGAACCACATAAATGGAATTTCTCGCATGCATAAAAGCTATACAAAAACAACAGGTTCATGAGGTGAAAAATTCTTCGAAAACTAGCTATCAGGTATGGCTGCAGATTTACAAACAGGACAGCTATTTTTGTGCAGAAGCCACTGTTTTATGCAATGAATATGATAGAAGTGTCCACAACCCAGCTTCCCCATCTCATCTTCAGCCTCGTATTCTTCCTGTTTTTTGAAAAGCAGAAAAGTACAGTTTTAGTTATTAGAGCAATCAACTTTTCTTTAAAATAAAGTTCCGAGACTAAGCACAAACGCAAATTTCCAGAGTTTTTACTAAGCACAAACCTGACAGATGCTACACTTTTTTTCCATTTCTGTGCGAAGATGAGATAAATTATTCAAAAAGAAGGGCTTAGTTCTTCTGACACATCGAGTTATCTCAGCTTCTCTCAATCCTGTGCTCACATATCCAATTCTATCACCGAGTTCCAGCAATTCCTGTTAGCAAAGGGTACTTGTCGTTAGTAAAAAGATGGGAGTTACAAGGACAGACAGATCTGCGCAAATGAATGACTTGCCTCATATGACATGTTATCCACATCAAGTCTCCAGCTCCGGTATCGATCAAGACCATTTGTTCTTCCCCCCATAAGACTATTCTGAAGCATCACAATCTGCAAATAGACTCCAGTTAGTCACGCCACCAATTCATACATTATGTTGGAATATAAGGTGGGCTATTCATAAATACATAAGGCACAAAGACATTAAGCTCACCTCATAATATATTGAAACTCCAATCTATCATAACAAAATAATAAAGAGGGGTTTACAGGTGCCAAAAGATAATTCTAGAGTCAATCCTACTAAATGCTTTCACACCCTAACTATGAACTTGGCCACCTAGATAACATAAAGGCTAGCACCTAATCACATAGATATTCCAAAAGTCACATGAATTATATCAAAATGCATGCATGCACTTAGCAAGTCTAGAATATTCAAAATTATGTTTCTAACACAATAAACACTTGAAGATTCATTCCCACTTTAAATGTTAACTTATCAAAAAAATAAAGAGATCCATTTCGGCTGTGCTATGGCACCACGCAGAATTTAATAGATAGCAGTGACTGAAAGCTCGTCTAATAGTACTAAATTGAAAGGTTTATATATGATTATATGGTAAATAACTGATAGAACCGACAAACGACATGATGCAATTCCCATAGGATGGGTACTTGCTATGTGCTGTCAATAACGAACAAGCTTAAGGCATTGTTAACCTAGATTGCCACTATTGCTTCAGCAGCATTACTCATCAGCGACTTATTTGCAAGAACATTGACACTTTCAGGTTAGGTTACTTCAAATTTATACATGTTCTCCGGCATCTCTATCAAGTCTATTCATGTTTTCCTTAGAAAAGAACATTACAATGGCATTGTAAATTAACAAGACAATATTTTGCTCCGTCTTATAGTATCTCAAAATCATATTTTTGTGATTGGCAGCCATCAAACCAGCAAGCATATACCTTAGATTTACTTTGCTACTTCATTTCAGAAGTCAGGTTCAACAGAATCAATCACTCTGATTACCAATGTAATGTGTTTCCAACAGACATTATTGCCTTTATGTTGTAGAGGGGAAGGAGTAGAAGACATTCATGTCAACACACTTGAAAACATCACTAACAAATTTTACCACTGCAAAAACCTTTATTTTTATTTCTCTTTGGAACTAAATGAGGGCTAGCATAAGAAACTTGAGAAAGAAATTTGGCCGCCATAGTTTGCAGTTTTGAGGTTGCTATGGAAGCATAACGGATTCACTGAAAATCTCATGTTGTTATCAGCTTTTCAAGACATTTTAAGAGTTCAACATCACCAGGAACATCAATTAAGCCAATGCCACTAAATTTTTCGATAGCTAAGCAAACAATATCCCATGATTAGTCATTCTGCATTAATTGGTAAACTATGAAGAAAAGGGTTGCAACAAGCTACTTTCAAGATGATCAAGCAAATTAAGGCTATTAAAAGAAAAGGAATCCGGTTAAGTGATGATGCTTCACGAAAGTGCAAAAGCTAATTGATTCTACTACAGCTAAATCTCATAAGTTGAGGATTTAACTTCGACAGCATTCGCCAAGCATGTTCAAGAGTATCAACTCAGTCTTGTGATGCAATGAGCTTGACCATTTCCTTGGAGGCTAAGCATGGCCCCTCATGGTTCAAATTAGATTATGCATGGCACCGAAAACTAAGGGTCATTCTCAACACAATGGCAGTTCCCCCAAGCACCCAAAAAAAAAGGAATCCAAAAAAGGCCTCAGTCACCGAACTGAACATGTAAAGCCTCTATACTGAACTGCTTCAGTCGGTTGTTTTCTAGCAATGATCTAGACAAAACTGTGCACAAATGGCTAAAAACATTTGATAATAATGAAAATGATAAATTATAAATCCAAGTACAGGAGAAAACATAATTTCACTAAGGTATCAAGATAGGAGTAATGAATCTTCTTGAGAAAAAGCAAAGCAGCAGCAGATAGATAGCTAGTTATCAGTAAATTAGGAAGTAAAGCATGTATGGACAAACCTCTGCAAGCCCTTCAGGAAAACCATAGTGAGAATCGCGATGACGCCTAAATCCAAACCAATTTGCTCGAGAGCTTTGCATTTCCAGAGTTTCAGTATCAAGGAAAGGATCGTCTTCTGGTCTCGACATTCTTCGCACAGAAGATGAAGATCGCTGTGGAAAAAGGAAATGAAATTATAGGATATTCTTCAATTTATTTACACGTAAACCTTGTACTCAACATTCACCATCTATACATTTAAATGCAGATAAATATAAAAGTTACTCTAAAATTCACAATGATGAGAAAACAAATAAAGGACAGTTTTAACAGTTCCAAACCCACAAGGCAGAAAACGACAAGAGTAGAATAGACAAACACAATACGATGAGAG